ACATATACAATCACATGAGTTAATCACTTGCAGGGCATATAAGCCCTACATGTCTTTATTCGACCGGAGGCCACAAAGGCCTATGCAGTCGCATAGGCCAAAGTTTTGGCCGTCAAATAATTTTTCATTCAAAAGCCTAATTTATTAATTTTGAACAATAATTTTAACAATTCTTCACTTATTCAATATTCAATAAAAATTCATATTCAAAATATACAATACTTATGTATAAAGATTAGATATCTTTAGATTTAAATGCAACCATAATGTAATTGAAACAAAATAAAGTCGAAATTAAAGATAGCAAGAAAGTTTTGAGCCAATCATTTCTTGTGACAACACCCATAAGAAAACACACATAAGTATTACGTGCTCTCAAGTTTCTTATTCTCGCTTAGCGTTAATATGACATTGCGCTTATCCTATTCAATGAACTTTGAAGAGAGAAGCTCCAACTCTCTATTGATGCGGCACTACCTTGAAGTTCATTTGGATGAAATTCTTTCATTATCTTTGTAACTTTTAGATATATTTGTACTTTAGTATTGAATTTCATTAAGTGCTTAAAGCTCAACCCTTATTCAACTAACAATCAACATTATCTTATTAGGATAGGGTTATCGTGGATTTTATAATGTTGAAACTATTTACATATCGAATGACTTGTTGTTATCCTTTGAACCTGTGAATTACTTATTAAGGAATGATAGGCAGGGTTGCCATCATTGGTGAATCTTTTATTTTAACAGTTTCAACCACATCCTACAAGAAGTAGATATTACTAAATCTCCATTTAGAGGTTTAGTTAAGGGATCCGCTAGATTCTCAATTTACTTAACATAATTTAGGGAAATTATTCTACTTTTGATTAATTTCTTTATGTGGTTATGTCTTTCATATGTCTAGACTTTCCATTGTATAGCTCATTGTATGCATTTACTAATGTAACTTGATGATAACATCGGTCCTAAAGGTATCTCATAAAGATCTTTAAGCCACACAACTTCTTTCTAAATGTCTGATAGCACTACAAATTCAGATTTCATAGTTGAGTGTCTAATACATGTTTGTTTCTTTGATTTCCAAGAAACAACACCTCTTCCAAGAGTAAACACCCAATTCAAAGTCCACTTACTTTCACCCGTGTTAGATATCCAACTAGCATCGGTAAATACTTCCAATACAGTCGGGAATTTAGTATATTGTAGACCTAAATTCTTGGTTTTCTTCAAATATCCAAGAACTCTTCCAATGGCCTTCCAATGGTCATTGCTCGGTATCGGTAAATTCTTCTAATATAGCCGAGAATTTAAAATATTATTGACCTATGTTGGTTTCTTTTAAATAGCCAAGAACTCTTCCAATGACCTTCAAATGTTCCTTACTCGGATTACTAGTAAACCTACTGGGTTTATTAATTGCAAATGCTATGTCCAAGCTTGTGCATTGAATTGCATACATTAGACTCCCTATAACATTTGCATACTCCAATTGAGCAAGTTCTCTTTCATCATTCTTCATAAATTTTAAACTTGGATCAAGAGGGGTATCAAATTCTTTTATATTCAAATATTTGAACTTATTAATCACATTACCAATATAATGTGATTGACAAAAAATAAAAAAATAAAAAAAATCCCCACTAGTTTTTGTAATTTTGACACTCAATATGATATCCACTTGTTCAAAATCTTTCATCATAAATGTGAAAGATAGAAACCTCTTCGTTTATTTGATTCCATCCATGTGATTACTCATAATCAACATGTCATCAATATACAAGCAAATAAGAATTATATATTCTTCACACACTTTAGAATTTAAATATTTACCTACACTATTATTTATGAAACCAATTGAATTAATAGTTAAGTCATATTTTTCATGCCATTCTTAGGTGTTTGCTTTAAAACGTATAATGCTTTCACCAACTTACACACCTTATGTTCATTTCCGGGTATAGCAAATCCGTTGGGTTGTTCCATATAAACCTCCTCATCGAGATCCACATTTAAGAATGCTGTCTTAACATCTATTTGATGAATATTCAAGTCATGTATTGAAACTAATGCGAATAAAATCCTAATTGAAATTATTTTAGCTACCGGTGCATAGGTAGCAAAATAATCTAGTTCTTCTTTTGGTCAATACCCTTTAGCTACTAATTTAGCTTTAAGGGTATTAAGAGAACCATCAACGTTGTATTTTTTTCCTAAATACCCATTTACATCCAATATGTTTGGATCCTGGTAGTAAATCGACAAGCTCCCATGTATATTTAACATAATTGAATCAATTTCATCTTTAATTGCATCTTTCCAAAAGATGCTATCACAAGAAGCCATCGCTTCTCTTTAAGTTTTTGGATCGGTCTACACTTGTAGAACGAAAAGAATTGTTCTTACAACATTCTTCTCATTTCCTTCTACTAGGTAACATAAATAAAGTTGAGAGTCAATTTCATCTGGTCCTAAAGACTTCTCAATTCGAGTTCTTTTTCTTCTTCATGGTTCATTGGATTCATGAATATCTTTAGAAAATTTTTCATCTTGTGTTCTACTTGAGCTAGAGATCTCATTATAAGTTTCCCTTAATTTATTATCTGAGGATAGTTTTCTCAAAGAACTTATCATCACTTGATTCAATTATTACATTGGTCTCCAAATTTACCAATCTATATGATTCGCTATTACCAGCATAACCAACAAAGACATATTTGATAACTCTTGGAGTCAACTTGGTCCTATTAGAGTTCGTGTTCTTACAATATGCTATACACTCCCACACTTTGAAGTATTCAATGTTAAGTTTTATTCCTTCCCACAATTCATAAAGAGAAATCTTTGTAAAATTCGAAGGAATTCTAATTTATATCCTACATGCACTCAACATTGCTTCACATCATAAATTAAATGGCAACTTAGTATAAGTTAACATGATATTTATCATTTCAACTAAAGTTCTATTTTTCTTGTCAGCCAAACTATTTTGTTCGGATGTCCGAAGTGCAGAATATTGATGAATTATATCTTTTTGTTCACAAAATAAGTTAAAATCAATAAAAAAAATATTCACCTCCTCTATCACATCTTAGAATTTTTATTTTCTTACTTAAGTGATTTTCCACTTCATTTTATATGTTTTAAATATATCAAAAGTTTCATATTTATGTTTCATTAAATAAACTTAAGATATTTAGAGCGATAGTCTATAAAGGTAATAAAATACATATTTTCACCTTTAGTTAACATCTCATTTAATTCACATATGTTCGTATGAATTAATTCTAAAATATTAGAAATTCTATTTACACTTTGATAAGGTTTTTTAGTCATTTTAAATTCTACTCATGTTTTATATTTAAATTCATCATTTTCAATATATGATATTAAATCACATTCTAACATTCTTTTCATAGTACTTTTACCTATATAACTTAATCTAGTATGCCATAAAGTAAATGAATCAATAACAATTTTGTCAACTACAATACAAAGTTTAACGATTCATTCACTAGAATAGCCATTGATAACAAATTTTTCATTTATGGATAATACAAGTTTATCGGACTCATAACCACTTTTTATGTCCGATTTTCCTAAGAGATTACCACTAATTAAGTTTGTATTTATTTCAGGAACATGTAGTATATTTGAAGTTTACAACAATCAATTCTTTTGCCTGCATTTTTTTTCCTTTTGGAATTTGAAGTTTTCATAGAATAAGCATAGATGGCAAACAAATTATTTGAGAAAGATTTATATTTGTGATTTTATTATTTTTTTTATGTTAAAAAATATGTATTTAAAAATAAAAAAAATAAAAAAATGTATTAGATAGTTGGGTTGGTTAACTGACGGGTTGGTTTAAAATTAACCAAACAAAACCAATTTCTTGGTGCAAACCAACCCAAACTCACCCAAATCGGTTTGGTTTGGTCGGTTTGATCCATTTTCGATTTTTTTTTTTTCTCTCCTATCACCTTCTGTTGATAAAAAAAAAATGCTATTGTTTCAAATATTAATTATTCGGTTAAGTTGGAATTACTTTTTTACCAAAAAATAATTTAAAAAAAAAAAAACTATTTTAGAGAAGCCCAAAATTTGAGATTCTCTAAAAAGCTCTAACTCAGCCTTTGTGAAATTATAATTTATATTTAATTAAACTTAAAAATCAACAAAAAACACATTAATATCTCTAAAAAACTTTGTAGCTTTTGACCCAATTTAGGGTGTGTTTGATTTAGATTTTTTAAGAATAAAGCTTATGAAAAGTGATTTTTTTTTGAGTATGTTTGGTTTGAAAGTAGAAAAAGTTGAATATACGAGTAAAATTATTTTATTAGAAGAATGAGATTGAAAATAAGTTTAAGAAAAAATATATTTTAAAAAATTTATACCAAACATAAACTAAATATAAAGTCCGTATATAAATAGAAACACGTTTGAATTCACAACTAAATGATCTCAGACCTTTTAATAAAAATTCTATTATCAAAAGCTATATTACTAGAAGCTCTTCTCGCATTAACTGTCCCAAATGGACCCTTTATATACACCCCTTGTTCGGATTACATTTTCTTAAAAAAAAATTTTTTTTTTTAAAATTTATTTTCTTATAAAACAATTTCACATGCATTTTCTTATTTTTGAATCATATATTTTTAAAAAATAATTTTTTTTTTCAGGAACGGGGTCAAAAGAGGCATAGCCTTCCTAAGCCCCAAGTCCTAAATAATCTACGTGTAATTTGCGCTAAAAATTTAATTAAAAAAGTAATGCTTTTTATAAGCCTCTAACATTTGCACGTGAAAACCACTCATCATCGAAAGATTTCTCTCTGTTCCTCTAAATCCCCACGCGGCCACGCCCCACATTACTCTTTTCTCTCTTGCAGAAGCAATAAGCCTTCATCTTCTCTCTCAAATGTATAGCCCTTTTTTCTCCCCCATTTCTAACTTCTCTTTCATTACATTCATACTCATTTTGGTACAATTTCTCATGGATGTGAACTCAACCACGCACTGGCAAGATATACAAATATTGAATCAGCTCAAGAACTGCATCGATCCCAACTCAGTTACTCCAGGTTCCTGCATTTATTCATGGGACTTCACTCTTGATCCATGCGACAATCTGTTTAAAGAGAAATTTACTTGTGGCTTCCGGTGCGACGTTGTTGTGGAGGGCTTTTCTCGGGTCACCGAACTCGCTCTTGACTCGGCCTATTACTCCGGCACGCTCAGTAACGTGACGTGGAATCTCCCTTATTTACAGAACTTGGATGTTTCGAATAATTACTTTAATGGGTCTGTTCCCGGATCGTTTTCGCAGTTAACTAGGCTGCAGAGACTCGGGCTGTCCAGGAATTTGCTCTCTGGATCGGTGCCGGACTCACTAGGCACGCTTTCCAACTTGGAAGAGATGTACTTGGATAACAACAAGCTTGAGGGGACAATTCCGTTGAGCCTCAACGGTCTGAAGAATTTAAAAAGGCTCGAACTTCAAGGAAACAGACTCAGTGGAGAGTTTCCTCAACTGATTCAACTCAGTAACTTGAATTTTCTTGACGCCAGTGACAATGCCATCTCCGGCAACATTCCAGCGAATTTCCCGGAAGCCCTCATTGAAATTTCAATGAGGAACAATCAAATTGAAGGCAACATTCCATCGAACGTGATCAACTGTGCATATCTGCAAGTCTTAGACCTGAGTCACAACAAACTCAGTGGGTCAGTTCCTCCGAGTCTATTCACTCACCCCTCTTTACAGCAGTTAACTCTCTCATACAACCAATACGACTCAGTGCCAGTACCCGGTAATTCAGGTCTGACCAGTGAACTCATTTCAGTGGATTTGAGCAACAATAATATCCACGGGTTTTTACCCGGGTTCATGGGTTTAATGCCAAAATTATCAGCTCTGTCACTGGAAAACAACAAGTTAACGGGTATGTTACCCACCCAGTATACATTAAAAGTGTTGGCAGCGGGTTCGGGTTCAGAGTTAGCCCAGTTTGAGAGGTTATTACTTGGAGGAAATTATCTCTTTGGTCCCATTCCGGGTCCATTACTGGAGCTTGAACCGGATTCTGTCACAATCCGATTGGGAAATAACTGCTTTTTGCGGTGCCCAGTCAGATGGTTCTTTTGTGAAGGTGGGGCCCAAAAGTCCTTAATGGAATGCAGAGCGTTTGGTCCCATCATTCCTTGAATAATGTGATATGTTGTCAGAAATGTTTATTATTATTTTTATTTTGTTAACGTTGGGATTAATTAATTTTGTATAAAGAATAATTTTTTTGCTTTACCATTCAATAAAATTTCGCAATAAAATAAATTAATATAAATGTGTATATAATGTAGGAGTAAGTCTGAATATATTGTTAAATTTTATATACCACTGTTTAGAAACCTGTTTCAAAGCATATAAAAATATTTTTAACAACAAAACCTAGAGATATAAACGAGTTGAGTCCAAGTTTGCGGCTCAGGTAAAAACGGATCGAGCGCCAAAGCTTGACCGAAAAAATGGGGCTCGACTAGAACTTTCGGCTCGGGCCTTTCCGAGCTAAGCCTAGCTGGTTCATTAGCTGCCCATTTCAAAATCAACTATGGCTACCTTTAAAAAACGTAACTACCTTTATTTTTAAAGGCCTAGAAAAGACGGCTATGGCAAGCTGCCTTTTTAAAGGCAGCCAAAATTCAAGACACGGGGAGTCACACGGGTCGACTCAGGCTAGGACCAACAATTGAAAATGAGGCTTGACCTGAGCCTTGGCTTGGTTCCAATGAGCCGCGAGCCGAGCCACGGGTCGCTTAAGGCGGTGAACCGGATTGACATCCCTAACCAAACCTTTTCAGTTTTGGTTTTTAACTCAAAACTCTTAGGCTAATTCATAAATATAGTTTCACTCAGATCCTATTAGACTAATTTGATTTAGTTTCCAGTTAAAATGGTAAATTAAAGGAAGCCAAATTTTGATAGATGTATATTTTACAATAGGTCAAAATATTTCATTATAATCTATTCCCTCTTTTTGAGTAAACCTATTTTCTACTGTTCTAACTTTATATCTCTCATTTAGTATTCGACTCACATTCTTTAGCTTATAAACCCATTTATAATCAATTATTTTCTAATTATTAGGTTTTATCAACAAGAATACAAGTTTTATTCCTCATTAAAGAATCCATTTCGTCTTTCATGGCTTCATTCTAGAACTTAAATTCTTTATAACTTATGGCTTCTTTGTGTGACTCTGCTCTTTGTGTCTCAATAAGCAACCTATTATCAACTGATGGAGAGGTCGTGTAATCACCAAGACCCATCCCTTCCATGTAAATCTGATTTTGTACCCTGATCCTGTCTTTAGATAGAGTTGGACTAGGAATAGTAGGCTTGGAAATGATGACCTCAATTTCCCACCAACAGTCGAAAAATAAGTTCTTAATAGCAAATTTCATAATAGAACCAACATTCATACGATGCCTCTTTTTGAAGTGATCTAGCAACAAGCTCTATGGCATACTCGTCAGTACCAATATCACCCAACAAGCCCTTAGTAATGGCTTAGGACAATGTTCCTATATAACTCTGTAAGCTGGAACCTAAACCATATGATGATTGAATACCCTCTGAATGTATCTCCGACGATGGAGAACTAACATGTGTATGCTCAGAGGGTGCCTTGTAGTAGGAAATGTAATAATAATAGGTGTAGGACTAATAGGAGGAAGTACCTTAATTGGAGCCATGGGAGTTGGCTTAGTATCTATGATAAACTATGGTGGTGCCTGTGCATAACTTTTCTAGAAGAGTCACTAAAAAGTATTTGTAGAAGCTAGAGGTGGTACATTATGAGGTGTCGTCGATGCTATAGTAGGTTCTGGCACTAGTATAATAATAGCAAGTGCGATCGACGTAATTTAAGGGACTGCTATTGGAGTAATGTGGAACATAGGTAGAACAACTAAAATTAGTATCCACTGCTTCCACGGCTAAAAAAAGTCACCTTGCATATACCCTTATCAGCACTACTAGTAGTGGTCTTAGTAGGAGGGTGAAGCTGAGAGGGAGGAGGAACAACAATCTAGGGAGCGGGATGTGTCCTAGAAGTACACTGCTATTAGGAGTGGTCTAAATATCTACAATAAAAGCAAAAAATTAATCATTTCTCATACACTACAAAAATAACCAATTTCGTGACAAAAAAATGTTGTTGCAAATATTGAGATTTTGCTGCAAAAGTAATTTAGCGATGACAATATGTTTGTTGTGGGTATTGCCGCGCTATAAGTCACAGAATGTGTTGGGTGACGACTTTTAGTCATTCATCACATTTGTTTAACTTAGAAAATACGAAATAACAACACAATATTTGTAGATATAATGTCATCGCAATGTATATATGTCGCGAAAAATTAGAAGGGCGACAAGTCAGTTTGTCACAATGAATATTCCAACAAAGGTTTTACAAGAAATATGTTTGTTGCGAATATTGAGTCACAAAATGTATTCTGTGACAACTTTCGGTCATTCATCACATTAACAGAATTGCAACACCATTTATTTGCCGCAAAAAAATGCGAAATAGCAACATGATATTTGTAGTTATAATGTCGTTGCAATGCATATAGTCGCGAAAATATTAAATGGCGACAAGAAAATATTTGTTGCAACGATTATTGCAATAAAGTTTTTACGAGAAAAATGTTTGTTGTGAATATCCTTTTAAAAGTGTAATTTTGCTATCTATTTTATTTTGCAATAACACATGCCCGTAGTAATATATTTTTAATAACAAGTAATGTTTGTCGTGAAATATATTTTACAATGTGTTAGATATGTCGCATAATGTATTTTAATATGTTCAATATTTTTAGTACAATTTATTACGTAACAAGTGTTTGTAATTAAATTTATCTCGCAACACAAAGAGTTTATCGCGCCATCATTTGTGCAACGATGTATAGTTGTTGTCTAATTTATTTTGTGATTATTTATATATGTCGCATATTTTTTTACAACATATAAAATTATCACGCAAATTATTTTGACAACGAACATTTATTTATGTGTCAAGTTGTGCTCACAGTTAAATTTATTCTGCTACACAAAGGGTTTGTCGCTTCAACTATGTACTATTGTCGCCTAATTTATTATATCTTTATTTATATATGTCCACTACAACAAAATTGTTCCGCAACAAGATTTTTAGCGACATACAAAAAGTTGTCGCAATAAGATATTTGACGTGATACATTTTTAAAATTTGTCGCAAAGATTGCGATAAAAAAATAATTACCAAAAGATATAAGGCGACATAAAAAGTTGTCGTGAAATATGAGAATTCGCGACAAATAATAAAGTATGTCGCCAAAAATATGAGAGAAGCAAGCCGCCAAAATATTTTTGGTGGGAAACTTATGGCGACAAACTTTTATCTCTTGTAACAAAGTGTTTGTGATGTAATATGGTCTATTTTTTACGACAAAAAGTATTTGTTGCTAAAAATTCTATAGTTGGACGAAAAAATCGCTACAAAAAAATTATTTTTTGCAACGGAATATTGCAGTAGGTTTTTTACAATGCTCATGTAGGTTCCAATGTTGTCATAGAGTAGAAGGAAATGTGCAATGCAGGCTACAAAAGCCCTCAAATGTATGTTGTTGTTTAAGTTTTTGTGACGTACCTCGTCTGTTGCTTTTATTTTATTTTGCAACACTCTTTGCTTGTTGTCTTAACTTCTTTTTGCAACCTTTCAATTTTTTTTTCGTAGAAATGTTTGTTTTTTGGTTTGGTTAAATTGTAATACGTAATATAATTTAATTATTTTTTGGCATTTTCATCCTTAATTACACATTTAATTGCGCAAATCAACATTTCTATTCATTTTCTTTCAATTTCTCAATAAAAAGATTTTGATTCATATGTTGATTCACTTGTTAATTTCCATAGCTAAGATTTGGATGATCCTTCAATCCTTGGTTGTACGTGTTTGAATAGGGAACATAATTCCTCAGTGGTTGTCCAGGAAAGCTACCGGTTGCATTTATGTGTTCAACGAATTCTTCTTGAAGTGTTGGGCACATATCGGTTGGATGGCTTACCAATGAACAAATTTCACATGCCTTCGCCGTTTGTATAGTACCTGCAGCCATTTGACGAATAAGACTAGTTAAACTCACTATTTGTTGTTCAAGGGATGAGACATTTACCTCGTTAACTTGTCTAGAAGGGGGATTGAATCTAATGTCAAATTGTTGAGAGTTGGTTGCCATGTTTGCAATTAAATTCATCGTTCCTTCAGGAGTTTTATCCACCAAAGCTCATCCACTAGCATCGTCAATCATGCTCTTTTCTTTGGGTAGAAGACCTTCATAGAAGTATTGGATGAGAAGTTGCTCACTGATCTGATGATGGCGACAACTTGTACACAATTTTTTGAACCGCTCCCAATACTCATGTAGGGATTCCATGTTATCTTGTCTTACACCACGGATTTCTTTCTTAATATTTGCTTCCCTCGAAACTGGAAAATATTTCTCCAAAGATAACCTCTTCATTCCATCCCATGTAGTAATATTTCTGGAAGGTAGATAATAGACCAATCCTTTGTCGAATATTTCAAAGAGAATGGGAAGGTTCTCGGTTTGATTGGTTCTTCGGTGACTCCCGTATGTTTCATGCTNTTCTTTCAATTTCTCAATAAAAAGATTTTGATTCATATGTTGATTCACTTGTTAATTTCCATAGCTAAGATTTGGATGATCCTTCAATCCTTGGTTGTACGTGTTTGAATAGGGAACATAATTCCTCAGTGGCTGTCTAGTAAGGCTACTGGGTGCATTTACGTGTTCAACGGATTCTTCTTGAAGTGTTAGGCACATATCGGTTGGATGGCTTACCAATGAACAAATTTCACATGCCTTCGCCGTTTGCATAGTACCTGCAGCCATTTGACGAATAACAGTATTTAGACTCGTTATTTGTTGTTCAAGGGATGAGACATTTACCTCTTTAACTTGTCTAGAAGGGGGATTGAATCTAATGCCAAATTGTTGAGAGTTGGCTGCCATGTTTACAATTAAGTTCATCACTCCTTTAGGAGTTTTATACACCGAAGCTCATCCACTAGCAGCATCAATCATGCTCCTTTCTGTGGGTAGAAGACCTTCATAGAAGTATTGGATGAGAAGTTGCTCACTGAT